TCCATTAACCATCAAGACAATCCTCCACACACATACTCACAGGTCAATCCGATGTGGGAAATCCCTAAATTGAGAACCCATTCTCAGATGACTCTAGGCTATATCAAGTTGACAGTGAAAACTAATTAGGATACTTGGTAATTAAAGAATTATTTTCCCTTGTGGATTTCAGCATTTCCCCTTGTTTTAGATGAGCTGTGTTTATCCTACTCACATCTGTTAAGCTTCCTAGATGTGTGGATTGTTAGTCCATAAATAGAGAATCCTTCTGAGGTTTCCTTTGGATAAACTTTCGGTCCTTTCAGGTGAGCCCCTCATCTGTTCTCCTTCGCTCCTTTGTTCTCTTTGTTCTTCAGTTTATGCTGTTTCTGTCATCTATTTTCAAGTGCACTTATCCTTTCTTCTGCCAATTCACACCTACAATTGAATACCTGGGATAATAGTTTATTAGAATTACATTTTCAACAACACACTTTCCATTTGATCCTTTTATATAATTTTAGTCTGCTTATGTTCTTTTCTTGATGCAACACTGTCATAATGCCCTCCTTTTTCAGGTATGGTTAGCTTTTGCTTCATGACTTGTTATTGTTACAAGTCAAAATTATGGTTTCTCTTGGATATAGAACATGACCTGAAGTTTTACCTTCTGCAATTTCTGTTAGTTTTAGTCAACAGCACTGTGAAAATATCAGATTGAAAATTCCAGAAATGAACAATGTATATATTTTAAATTAGGGGCTACTCTGAGAAGTGTGATGAAATCTAACAGTGTCCTACTGTGTCTCTCCTGGGATGTGAATCAATTCTTTTTCCAGCATCTCCACCATGTATATGCTACCCACCTGCTAGTTATTTAGTAGTCATCTTGATTATCCTTTCAATTGTTGAACTATCACAGAACTTAAATTCAAGCAAATTTACATGGTAGTCTACCTTGTATTGCATTAATCTTGCTGCATCTGATCATGGACACATCACATCCTTGCACATCAGTAAGCAAGGGACAATATTTTGAGAAACTAAACACATAACCTTTATTATAGTACATTATTATAATTATTTACTTTCATTATTATCCTTGATGCCATGTTGTGCTTAATCTGTAGATTAAACTTTTTCACAAGTACATATTTACTGGGAGAAAGACAGAGCATATAGTATATAGTAGTTTGATAATATCTATAGCTTCTAGTGTCCACTAGGGGCTTGGGGCATATTTCCCATGGGTAAGAGGGAACTACCACGCCTGTTTCCAGCTTTATTGCCGAAGTGCATGGGTCATACTTTTCATACCCTTTCTTTTTTGTTGAGAAACTAGATGTTTTACCTTATATGATAGAAGCAACTCTGAGTAGAGATTTTTCTGTCTTCCTACTTGGGGGCTTTTGTCATTGCTTTCATGTTTTTTTATTTAGAGATTGGTTGGATTTAAGTGAGTCTATTTCTTCTTGGTTGCAGTTTGCATATGAAGTACCCCCCCCCCGCACCTCCTGCAAGCCTCCTGTGTTGTGGGTTAGTCCTCAGCTGGTGGTGCTATTGAAGGGTGATTGGATCATATGGCTGCTGGCTTCATGGATGGATCGGATCAACCCCGAGTCCACAGCTGAATGGGCTAGTGGGAGGTGGGGCCTGACTGCAGGAAGTCAGTCACTGGAGCTGTGGCTCTCAAGGGTGTATCTTGTCCCTCATCCCTTCCTTCTTTCTCTTGGCTTCCTGGCTGCCATCATGGAAGCAGTGTCCTCTTGTGGCAAGAGGCTACAGACTAGAGGAAGCTACATCAAGATAAACATATAAAAGAAGGCAGTTTGCAGAAGGAGACTGGAAGCCTTTCCCCACCTGGGCTTCACAACAAATGGAGCATGCTTAAGAAAAGCCCAGGGTACACAAACATGGGAGCGGCAGCTGCTCTGTAAATGTCCTATACAGGATCCTGCGGCTTATGACCGAACATTTTTGGACTTTTCTTACAACTCACTAGCCCACTCCCATTCTCAGAGATTTTTCCCTAATAAACTGTTTCTATTCTATTTCAAAACGTGTGTCCCTGGTCCAGTTCTTTGCTGTAGGTCACACAAACCTGGATACATCTGCAGAGGTCTGGGGACTAAGATCCACATCCATAACCTCTTCAACACGCTTCTCCTGCTGTGGTGTTCTGCCTCCCCACAGGCCTGGAGTAACAATGGATCCAGCCAAGCATGAACTTGGAAACTGGGCCAACATAAATCTGGCTCTTCTCAGTTATTTTCTCACAGTGACTGAAACTAAGACTATAGTGTCCAGCCTCTAATGCTTTCTGGAGAAGAATAGCTTTGGGTGTACCACAGTTGTCAGGGGTTTGAGTAAGGTTCTCTTCTTTCCCTTACCACACTCGGATGTTGAACTCCACTAATTACCAAATGATCCCTCTATTGTTTTCCAACCATATCCTTGATCATAAATTTTTCTACAAAGTACTCACCCCACTCTGACTCCTTTGAAGGAATAGTTCCCATGGTCAGGGTTGGGTTTGGTTCAGACCCCAAAGGCCTCCTCCTTGAATGTTTCCCCAGTTCTCACCTTTAACCAGTGTTCCTGCACTCTAGTTTGATCTTAGAGGTCCTCCCCAGAGTCTTCACCATAACTTTCATTTGCCTTGATAGTACCTTTGGCCTTGAATCTCATCATTTTGAGGCAAATAGTTCCTTGGGAAAAGGTTAAGAAACACCTGCTATGTGGCCTAATTTTTCATCATCCAGGCAAAATCTTCGAGCCACTGCTCTGGAGCTTGGAGTGGGAACACCAGCAAGCTTCCCTTAGACGTCTTTGTTGTTAATGGTGCTAAGGGAGTCAGGTGCCTTGAAGAGCAAACTCCCTTCAATGTGTTTTTTCCTTTATTTTCAGCTAATACTTCATGACTGGAGCTGAGCACACCCAGAGAAATTCCTGTCCATCACTTTAACCTTTTAGATGGTTGCTTTATGACCTTGAGCTAAGCACATAAAAATAAACAAACTAACCATGTGTCTGCTGTCTTCTTAAATTATGACTTTTAAACTGAGCACACACTAGAAGGCACTTAACTGAGCTTGCTCAGGAATGTGTCTACCCCTAAAGTGCTTTCTTGTATGAATAGGTTGAGACTCCCAGATTAAAAATCCTCATGCTTGGGGCTGGAGAAATGGCTCAGCAGTTAAGAGCACTGACTGTTCTTGCAGAAGACCCGGGTTCGAATCCCAGCACCCACATGGCAGCTAACAGCTGTCTGTAACTCCAGTTCCAGGGGATCCGACAGCCTCTTCTGTCTTCCGCGAGCATTGCATGACAAGGGTGCACTTACTTACACGCAGGCAATACACACATACACATTAAATAAATAAATAAATAAATAAATAATAAAATATTAAAACAAAAATCCTCATGCGTCCTTGGTTGAGGGAGGACGTTGCTTTGCAAACAGGCCCTACTATCGTCTGCACTTGCTATAAGCAATTTATCTTTCTCCACTTTTACGCCTTGGTCACCTTTATTTTTGCTCGTCACTCAACAAGGTGTGGACTCACTGCCTTCCATAACAGCCTCATCCTGGGATCTGATCATTGGGACAGGGCGGGAGGTCCTGTCCTGAATCAAACACCGCTGAGTGGAACAGGGCACAGATGATCTGGACTCAGTATTCTCAATACAGTGTACCTGCGCCGCCATTTCCGAAGTGAGTCTTCGAGAAAAAGAAGTCCCCGCCTCACACTGCATGCACCTGGGACTTCGTCTCAGGGCTAGGGAGGAGGGCAGCATGGGAAACTTCCCCTGAGAAGAAAGTTCTTTGGCTAGACGCTGGGGAAAGGTGTTTGCCTCTTAAGGTCGGATGGAGACACAGCCTCTGAACCAGAAGGAGAGGGGCAAGAGAGCAAACCTGGTTTAAATCGAACAGGCTCTCCGCTTGTCGCAGAGTCTCTGGTGTTACTGTATAACGGCTTCTTTGCTGTTTGCTTTGATGCCATTTCCAGTTACCTCATTTTTCTCCCTTCACTGAGGGCTGGGTAGGTGGCGGTCCAGGAGCTGCCCTGCTGGAAACCAGCTTCTGGTCTTTCAAGCTTACTACTACCTGCGAAGGAGAGTGCAGCTCTGCGCGACTGCATTGCATCCTAGGCTGCTCAGAGTCATTGCTGAGCATGTGGTTAAAGGATAGGAAAGTGGAGAGACTGCCAGGATTTGCTATGGCTTGAGTGTGTCTCCCAAAGGTGCAGGTGTGTGTAGCAATGCAGAACCTTTAAGTGGTAGAGCCTAGCGGGAGGTGATTACATCTCTGGGGGCGGCACCTTCCCAAGGGACTGATGCTGGTCTTGATCAGTCAGTCAGTCCTCAAGATAGCAGGTTGTTACAAAGTAAGGCCACCTCACAAGCTTAGTCCCTTCTGAGTAGCCATTTCCCTTTCTGCTTTTCTGGTGTGATGTGGTGCAGCTGTCATGGACATGTGGAATCCAAGTGGACCTCTGCATGAGAGGGTCTAATGTGCTGGTGGGGACAGAGGGAGACCCTGACAAGCAATTAGCATCTTCTTCCAGACTCCTTCAAATGTTGCTCTATGATAGTATTTATGATAACTTTAACTCACTCTAATGCACAGGATGCTTTCTAGATTCTAGTCGCTACACTGAGTACTAGCCCATATCATCTCCTTTTGATTCCCCCAACCCCAGAACCTTCACATTGGGACCCAGTCTTCGAGTAAAGACAGAGACTCTCCTCCGATGGGGCAGTAGCAGAGGGAGGCACTATAATGCTGTCATAGTATAGTCACTGTTGCTTGCTTTCACTCTCACTAAAAGGTGACTTCTGTGTTAAGAATTTCTCACCCTTTCTTAACACTGGGTCAGTAACTGTGGAAGACCACAGCATGCATTGCTAGCTGGACACGCTGTACTTGCACAGGAAGAGGCTGGAGAGTAACAAAAGCTTGGAGCCCACCTTTATGTCCACCTTGTACCCGCATCCCACAAAAAACAGAGAAAGACCAGTTAGTTATTCTGATGTTTATTTTAATGCATCTTAGTCCACACAGTTGGTATAAAATCAGAACAAGCAAAGAGGAAAGGTCTGGAGTCTTAGCATCAGAAGGGCACCGTATATACATCTACAGTTGGTGGCCAATTTGAGTCATCGCCAGACAGTCCCTGGAGGCATAGAACATCCTAGACCCAGCAAGCCTGGGAACTCATAGTCCCGAGGATCTAGACGCTTGTCCTGATGCTCCGACCGTAAGAGAATTGTGGGAGTGATGAAGGCTTCAAGATTTATTCATTATAGCATAATAGCAGTCTAGCTAGGTACAAAAGCGGTTATAAACCATTTATATTACACACAATTATTCTGATCTTCTTTCTATTTTATGTCATAAAATTGTTAATTGAATTTCCAGTGAGTTGTTTAGATGATTAGTAATAATAAGGAATGGTAAATCCATAGCACCATTTCACAGATTCCTTGTCACCGATTTCTCATTTAAACGCATGACCCAGATACTCCACCTTCAGGGACGAGTATTCCAGAGCCACTAGCTGTGTTTCTGCCCAGGGCTCCAGTTGGGGGCATGTGATCTGTGAGTGCTTAGGGCTCCACACAGAGATTCAGAGAGTGGACATTCCTGCTAAATGCACCGGGTCACCCACAATGTGAAGGCTTTGGGCATTCAGGGTTTGTCCCCACATTTTGGTTTTCTATGAGGCTGGGTGGGAGGGAGGTATCTTCTTTCAGATGAAAGGGGCCACACTGAGTTATTTTATTTCTGAGCAGAACAAAAGATGAAAAAAAAAAAAACAAAAAACAAAGATATTGAGCTTGATTATACTGTTAGGATGTAAAGTTCTTTAGCTACTTCTTTAAGGTTCAACACGAGGCTGACGGTCAACATAAAAAGCAAACAATACTATGTACATATATGTAAAAAGTGTTATAAATAGGTTTTATAAACCATAGATATTATATACATCTTTAATCAACAGCAATCACCCCTCAACTGCTTTCTGTTTGGTTTGGCTGAGTTGGGTTTTTGGCTAGCTCTTTTTTGGCATGTTGGTTTCTGGTTTTTGGTTTTCTTCCTCCCTCCCTGTGTACCCTGTGTACGCTCAGAGCCTGGACAGACAGTACGTCGGGCACCTCATTCGCGTTTCCGCAGGATCACATATATGATGCCACTGAGAAGAGCCAGGGGGAAGGCCACCCAGGCCAGGATGTAGGCGAATCCATAGGAGTACTCAGTGTTGACATGCCACTCAGAGTGCCTCACCGTGTAGATGGCCCCCGCACTCATCACACACAGACCTGGGGAGGAAAAGGACAGCAGGTGACAAGGAGTTTGGGGTGGGGCTGGGGCTGTCTACCACCTGAGTGCTGCTATCAGGCAGGGAGAATGTTTCTAACCCTGGATGGAATCTGCCTCCCAGCTCAGAACTGCGAGGAGACAGCTGGGAAACGTGAATGCAGGGAATGAGCTGCTCTCCACTTCCAATCCGCACCATCCACGCCAAGACCTCTGAAGTTCCTCAGCACATTTTCTGTCCCAATTTCTATTTGCTTCACTGTTGCTATTTCTCAGGCCACCTGAGGTGGCCAGTGAGTACTCAGGAAGCAAAATAAGCCTGTCTATTTTGTCCAGAAGTGGCTGGGTGTGGACATGCCTGCGAACTGTGAACCACTCTACACATGGACAATGGCATGACCAGAAACCAATGGAAGTGAAATGCCCTTGCACTGCTCTTGGTGTCATGGACCAGGCAAAGGCACAACTCTGCTGACCATGAGGGTCCCAAGTTCCTCAGCAGTGTTGTCCATGAACAAGAGTGAGCAGAGCTAACGGGCACTGCTGGGCAGACAGAGGACTGCAATGAAGGGGGAAAGGGAGGCAAGGAGGAAAGCAACAGGAGTGAGATGCAAAGTTGCACAGGGAGACCACCCAAGACCAGCTCCATTTCACTCCAGTCAGGCCTGAAGCTTAAGACAGACAAAAGAGCATCAGAGACACAGGGGGGCCAGGCCACTCCTCCAGCTCTTTGGTGGAGCCACCAAGCTTAAGTTTGACAGCCTATGCCCATGTGACAGTCCTGACCCTCCACAGGGAGCAGTCCAGTGACATTAGCGGCCCAGCCTGGAGCTGTACAAAGCCTGGTCTGTTCTTTCCTGAAAACAGGGTCTTTGAAAGGCTCTGAGAGACTCTATTATAAAGCCAGAGGCTGTGTGGGCTTCATGTGGTTCCAGAGCTCCAGTGCTCGGGCCACCTACAGCTAACCTCACTGCTATTTGGGCTGCTTACATGCTAGACACTGCAGGTTTGTTTGAATAAACTGCAGAAGCAGGGCGGGATGTCACATTAGCTACCCTGATCAGATTGTACTTTGGCAGCTCAGAGAAGAAAACTCCCACTCAGCTGGCCTCCATTGGAAAAGCCACACAATAGTCTTAGAAATATCGTGGGATTGGACCTAGGACTTGCTGCTATCTACAGAAAGTGCAGCGACGACAAAGCTGGCCGTGTCACGGGAAACCATAGCAGGTTGAGTACTGCTGAGGGACCACCGCAGTTTGGATCTGCTGGGACACCCTTAATCAGCCTTGATCCAAAATCCTGTGTTACCTTGCCCCAGGCTCACTTCCCCAAACTATTCCTTCTTGTTAAGAAATAGTGAGTCTGGGGATGTGGCTCAGGGGTAGAGTGTTTGCTTAGCTTTGAATGGCTCTGGGTTCCACCTCTAGCTCCATTCAGCACTTGGGAGGCTGGGGCAAGGAGATCCCGAGTTCAAAGCCAGCCTGAGCTACATTGTGAGACCCTGTCTCAAGAATATAAAAAAGAAAAAAGAAAAGAAGGAAGAATACAAGGATGGAGGGAGGATGGCGAGGGGGAAGACTGCAGTTACCTTGAGCTACCTGTGAGCTACCTGTCTAATGAGGGCAGGGCTAGAAGGAGGGAAACACAGAAGAGTGAGAAGAAAAGGTTTATGCTTGTTGTGTGTCAGGGCTTCTGCACCACGTGTCTAACAGGCTCAGGCATGCTACAGTAGCCATTTGGATCAGCTATGCCTCCGTTTCCCCAACAAAGAGAAAACATCACTTTCTACTCTTGACCAAGGAGAGTGAGGCAGGATACTCAGGTGTAGTAACTAATCTGATGACCTGCCTTGAGGTTCACCCTAAAAGAACCTCAGAAATAAGGCTAGGCTTACCCATAGTAAGCTCTAAGCTTAGGTACTTGCAAAGCCGAAAGTACCACTTTATAACTGTCACTGCTAGGAAACTGAGGTTTTACAGACTGCTGTTATTGCAATGCTGCCTGCCGCAAGCAGCAGATGTGCCCTGACATCTAGAAGAGAATGACTACTTGGCTTAGTACCCTGCATCTGCGAGCCAGAGCAGTTAACGTCGGACAACAGCCATCTTAAAATCAAATCTTCCTCCTTGCTGTGACTCCTCACACAGCAGGTAGAGATGCGTCACTGAGGTCCTCTTTGGTAAGTGAGGGCCCTGGGAGAGTCTCAGTCAGTGAACTCTCATCAGATTTAGCTGGAAAGACAATGGACCTGTCCAAACAACATAGAGACACCGGGCATTCAAGTAACAACAGTTTGTACCTCTCAATGGCAGGGTCTATAACAACTCCCTGCATATTTTCCCTAAAGCCCTTTGTAAGAGAAGGTCTTAAGATACAGCAGTAACCCCAGCTGAGCTATTAGAACCCAGCACCTCTGGGAGGGGCCATCACAGTAACAAAGGCAGGAAAGCAACTGAGGAAATTCTCGGTTCTTCCTTATCATCTCTGTTCCCTTGGGTTCATTAAGCATATAATGAGTGCTTGCTGTGTACAAGCACTGTCCTAGATGGGGAGAATACCAGGATACATGAGACAAGGTGCAGATACTTTCAATGCTAAGTAATAGAGAGGAGAGAGAGGGAGAGAGAGAGAGAGAGAGAGAGAGAGAGAGAGAGAGAGAGAGAATTCATGACTCCAAGAGCTCAGATGGGCTGAGCTCCACACTGCCAGACAGAAGCTTTGGGGGGTGATGGTGCTTGAGCTGGGCCTTAAGGATGTATAAGAAGTGGCCAGGTAAAGAGGAGCAGGATGGGAATTCCAGGAAGAAGGAGGAGCAGGGCAAGGCTAAGAAGGCTGAAGAGTGTGCTGGAAACTGCCAGCAGATGGTGATAAGTGTCCTGTGACAGGGAGACTGAGCTCAGCCAGGTCCACGATGGCATGGTAAAAAGGCTGTCCAGGGGAACCTTGCAGGGACTTCAGCATAGAAATATGAGTACTTCAGGTCAGGGGGGGTGGTACGGTACAGACCCAGAAGTCCAGTACTTGGGAGGCTGAGGCAGGAGGATCTCAGGTTTGGGGTCTAAGAGAAGGAAGGAAAGAAGGAAGGAAGGAAGGAAGGAAGGGAGGGAGGGAGGGAGGGAGGAGAAAGGAACAGAAAGGAAGGAAAAAAGGAAAGGAAAGGAAAGGAAAAGAAAGAGTGAATCATTTCAGCAGTTGAACAGAAAATGTTTTCAGGGCTGAGGGCAAAGCAAGTGTTGGAAAGTACAGAAGAAGGTGCCGCATGGCTACAGTGGTGTTGATGAGCACAGAGAGAGAACTGGCATAGCTCCCGCGGAGTATGCCACACAAGGACAGCACTAGGCAGTGGGCTGGGTATAGGAAGAGAGAGGAAGGAGGGCAGAGCGGGATCACCCAGTGTGCTTGCACCTGGGACATGGGATGTTTGGAGATGTCTTGGGAACCAGAGAAGGAAGACAGTTTCCAGCAATAGGGCAGGTCATCAACAGTTCAGAAAGCAGTGCCTGGCACAGTGGTGCACGCCTTTAATCCTAGCACCCAGGAGGCAGAGACAGGTGGATCTCTGTGAGATTAAGGCCAGCCTGGTCTACATAATGATTTCCAGGCCAGCTGGGGCTACTGTGAGACCCTGTCTAAACCAAAAAATAAAACAACAAAGGCACAAGAAAGAAAGAAAGAAAGAAAGAAAGAAAGAAAGAAAGAAAGAAAGAAGGAAGGAAAGAAAAGAAAGGAGAAAGAAAGAGACAGAGAAAGAAAAACAGAAGAAAGAAGAAAAAAGAAAAAGAGAGAAAGAAACCAAACAGCAAACGAGAGACTCCACAGAAGACCTGAGCAGCACATGTAGTGTAGAGCATTGCCCTTGGAAAGGGAGGGGCAGAGGCCACGGTGAAGCAGGTTAGAAAGTGGACCCAGCAAGCCTGTCCAGAATGACTGACTGGTGGAAGGTGCAGCCTTGGTATTGACTTGATGAATGAGTACTTTTATCTCATTCTTAAAACCATCCTTAGGGCCATAAGGCAGGGCAGAAAGGCTAGAAAGCTATCAACTTGACATTCTGGGCTCTGGAGCCTTCTCTGCATTTTTGGCCCAGTTTCCATTTTCAGTTTCCAAATGACCACTGCGACCTAGACAGCCGCCCACAGCATTACTGGGCTCCCATCTGGGTATGGCCTGTGAAACATCCGGAATGATTCACCCTAAGCAGAGTTTCTAAATGTGATATCTGGCTCGCACCACCTTTGAATCACTCACAACAAGCAGGGTTACAGAACTTTCATTAAATTCCCTACCAATTCTTGTATTCTGTGGTCAATCTTTATGAGACAGATTGTAAGTACTAGTTGGTGGGTGAGGTCCTTTCATGTGACTGCACAGAGTTTGCTAGCTGCTGGGTATTAAAACAGGTCTCTACTCTAGGTCCCTGTCTGTGTGAGTTTCTTGATGTTTTCCCATGTAGTTAACTTGACCCAACAAAGCAATGACCCCTGGAAAACAGGTATGACTCCAAAATCCAGAAGCAGGATCAGGGTGTTCTTCCCTAAAAAGAGGCTTAGAAGAATCCACAACTCGTGAATGGGATTTGCTGTCAGTAGGGAATGTCCCCACAACAAGAGCAGGACAGTTTAATGGCTTGGAGAGAGTCTACCCAGAGACTCACAGGGTAGAGCCCAGGCATGGGTGTTTCACCTGTGATTCAGATGAGCAGCTAAGGCTAAAAAGCACTGATCTTAGGCAGGGATTTTTATATTCCTTCGTGAAGCAGCCAATCTAAGAGGTGTGTAATCAAGAAGACAGTTCACAGACATGGGACTCACAGGTATGATCCATAAAGACCAAAACACACCCTCCAAAGGGAAGCTATGAAGATACCCTGCCTGTAACACCCGGTGGGAAACTCAACAGAGATTCCAGTAGCTTCCATTTAACACGCTTTAACGTTTTGAAGATGCTCCCTTCACGTAACTTAGTTACCTACTATGGTAGGCACACTCAGGCTTTGCATTCCTAAACCGTGGTGCCACTTTCCCATTCTTTCCCTTCCATCTACCTCCCTACCCCACCTCCTGCCTTTCTTTCCTTCCCCAGTTGCTTTCGCTTTTCTGACATTTTCCTTGATGGTAAGCTGTCAATTCCCAAGTATGTGTTAGTTCTCACCTCCAATCTACTCTACCCTAATCTCCCCAGTTCCCACCTTCTTCATCAAGGGTATGATGAGGTTGACTTAGAACTTCCATACACTGGAAGAGTCAGGAGTTTTCTTAAGCAAAGCCATAGCCCATGGTTCTCAACTTTAGTGATAAGAATGACAGCAATTTCAAAAGAGTGTTCTAAAGGCCTGAGATTCCCAGGAGACTACCCTTCAGACAATTTGGACTGGAGTTACCAACTAGGCACAGAACAGCTATTGTTTCACTTTTACATTGTGACTCCAGATAACTTCCTATTTAAATAGGGGCCTCTCCCCTGATGAACTCATAGCTGATAGTGAGTCTATTGAGAGATGAACAGCTAGATTGGCAGGGGATAAAGAAAAAGAAAATCATGTGCCTTTAAATTTAGAGGTATTTGTGGCAGAGTTCTAGAATGCTTGCATTGAGTTCAGAGGACAAGCAAAGGGAGAAAGTTGCTTCTAGAAGATAGACTTCGAACAATCAGAGAAGTTCCATCCCTAAGAATGGTCAGAAATGCCTTGGCCAGAGGTCACCCGTTTCACCTAAGGGTCCTTATCTCTGGACTTTGTGTTGCTTCCTGGCCTTTTGGCTAAGCTATAGTATCTGGACTTTGTGAATTTCCACATGAAATGCTATAGCTTTAAAAAAAGACACTGTTGGATAACTTAAAGCAGAAATAACTCAGTGGGAACAGTACAGACAAAAGTGCTGCCTTCCCCTTGACTTAGCTCGTCCCCACCCTACAGCCTTTAGTTGACTAGTCCTGTAGTGCTAGCTCCTACTCACCTCAGAGGCTTTGAAACTGATGAATAAAAAATGGTATGAATCTGAATTTACCATCCAATGGAAGTCAGGTGCAACAGAAGAGACTATAATAGGTAAAGTTTATGTCTTGGACTTTGAGTTCCTTAAAATCGTGGGGGTATTCTGTATGCCTAACTATAGGTTGATGTACTTAACTATATCAGTCCACATGGTAAGTAAGGGAATTAAGCATTCAACAGTCCCTGCCATGGGATGGGTGAGTTGCTCTTGGGTTCAGTTTATTCACTAGTAAAATAATAAACTTAGATAGATTAAACATAGATACTGCATGAAGCTTACAGTTCCTACACCTGCTTTAATTTATCTTCAGGGTATGTGCTCTGGTGTACTGGATGTGATCATCATTTGATTTGATATCAGACCATCACCAGTGAGTTGGAAAAGAAACACTATGAAGCAGGATTAGTTTGGAAATGGAACAAAGAGCAATTCTCTGCTTTTCATATACCTAGAAATATCATTAATAAAGCTGGTAGCATCCAGGAGTTTGGTTTGGTGTGATAAATTCAGTGCCATGTAGTCAAGTATTATACTGCTTTAAATCCATAAAACACTGAGGACTAAAATGTGTTAAAGTGTTCAGTGGAAAGGGACTCTTCACTACATTTCCTGAAAGGGGAGCTGTTTGACTTCCAGAAAAGATCATCCACATCCAGTCTCAGGCCATGTCTCTCCTACAGCCCTGGATCAGACAGCGCATCTGGCCAACCATTCACCAAAGACAGGTGGGCTGCTTCCAACCCAATAAAGGCTGCTCCTGAGCATAGGGTGGTGGGACAGCACTGAAATGAACATGAGACGCTCAATCCTTTGCCTATGCAAAGGGCCAGAATAGGGAGCACCTCACAGCACCTCGACACACTCGGAAGTTTTCTGTCTTACTTCTCTGTGCCCTTCAGACTCAGTCAGTGGCAGTCACTAGACAGAAAGGTATAGGTCAATGATGCAAGACACCGAACAGAATCTAGAGACAAAACTGGAAGTGACCCACCTCTGTAAAAGAACCTGTGCCTGGCCTATTGAAGAAACCATGGAGAAAAGGTGGAGGAGGCCTCGCCTGTATTTATATATGGTGTCACAGTCCCGTATTTGTGAACAATGGCATGTTACACAGCGGGGCTGGCAAATGCACTAGAGAATACAGTGGGAAGTCGAAGTCCAGGAGGTTTGCAGTGTGACTGTCACTACTCACAGATACAAGACATCCTTCTGAGAATACCCTTGCTGGCACTCTGAATTCCAGGGCCATTTTCTACACTAAAGTCAAGGTAGTTTTCCAGGATAGCCTTAGCTCTACCAATGGCCTTGGTATTTATCTCTAACAGTGTATCTAGATAGCAGTTTCACTCCTGGTGACAGGTCTGGATTGTTTGAGGCCTTCCTTCCAGAGCCCCCAAGGCTCTTTCACGTGTCCCTTATTCATAGGGCAGTGGAGTGCTCCCCACTTCAAATATACATGCCTATACATACACACACAGAAGATGAGGTGGGTGGAGAGACAGAGATAGGGGTGTGTGTGTGTGTGTGTGTGTGTGTGTGTGTGTGTGTGT